GACGAGTCACTGCTGCAATTAAAACCCAACGGGGAGTAGCAGGGAGGCACACTCACGGCCTCACTCATGCTTACCCTCTGGAGATGCCATTAAACTTGGTCAGACTCGAAATAAATCTGGCTTGTGCAAGAGTGAAGTGTCACACCCTAAGAGCAGTAGTGGCGGCGTGTGGAGCCCTCCCCGAGCTGCTGTGCTCCGGCACGCCTGGGGCATGTGTGGGCCTGCGCTGCCTGCCGGGGCTGCCCGCACCGCGGCAGAGCGGGACGGTGACCGGGGCAGAGTGTCTGCCCGCTGTGCGTCTCTGGTGTGCCCAAGCAGCCAAGACTCTGCTCGTTTGGCTACGAAAGGCACCGCGGTCCAAACCTCTCCCACTCCATAGGGTAGCTCAGGGCAAAGCCCCTCCTGGAGCCCAAGGGCTGGGCGAGCTCGAATGGCCGGAGCTGGCCAGAGTGGGCATCTTGGGACAGATGAGGGGGCCAAGAAGTCGTTCCGGCCTCCCCCCAGCCTGACGCACGTTCTTCTCCCCAGCAGATCGCTCGATGAGCACCTCGCTCTCCGCCTCCCAGCTTCACGCCGTCAGCATGAGGGACCCGCTGAACAGGGTGCTAGGTAATGGCGAGGCCGGATCCCAGTGCGGGTACCCGGCGGTGAGGCCTGGCTGTGGGGTGGGATCCGACCGTGCCGGGACGCTGGTGGGGACCTCTCCCCTGCGCGGGAGGCTTGGGCAGCCTCCCCCAGCCTCCCGGAACCGGCCCGGCTTTTGACATTTCCCTGTCTCCACAGCAAACCTCTTCCTGCTCATCTCTTCCATCCTGGGGGCCAAGACGGCCGGCACCCACACCCAGTTTGTCCAGTGGTTCATGGAGGAGTGTGTGGACTGCCTGGAGCAGGGCAGCCGCGGCAGCATCCTCCAGTTCATGCCCTTCACCATGGTGAGTCCCGTGGCCATGAGATCCTGCCCCGTGGTCGCAGGGTGCTCCGGGGCGCTGGTCCCATGGGACAGATGGGCAGGACCAGGGGAGTCCCGCTGCACGGCTCTCGTGGCTCCGGCGCTCTGGTGAGTCGGCTGTGTTTCTCCTCCCTCTGGGCAGGTTTCCGAGCTGGTGAAAGTGTCCACCATGTCCAGTCCCAAAATTGTCCTGGCCATCACGGATCTCAGCCTGCCCCTGGGCCGCCGCGTCGCTGCCAAGGCCATTGCTGCGTTGTGAGCGGATCGCCTCCCTTCTGCCGTGCAGGAGAGGACTGCCGGGCAGCCGCTGGGAAACCCATGTGAACTGGGACACTGGGCTGGGACTGGGATGCCTGGGATGGCCCCTCTGTCACTGCAGGCTTGGCCTGGCCCTGCCCGGGGGCTGCTTCTCTCCGTGTTCAGCCTCCCTTGCTGCCTCGCCGTGGGCATTCAGAGACTGCGACAAACCCCTTCCTTTTTTTCTATGATTAATTCAGTCCTTTTGTAGAACCAGGCTTTGCTTGATTTCTGTTTCGTTTCCTGACTGCGGTCCAAAACCCTCATCATGGGGCGAGCTTGATGGTGGGGGTGATGGGAAAGTAAGCGGCTAAGACCTGTGCTGGGCAGGGGAGCAGAATCACACTCGTTGTGTCCCTAACCCGCCTGTCCTGGCCCCGGAGAAGCCCGGGAGGGCGGTGGGCTGCCGGTGATGCTCCACCTGGGGAGCAGGTGCCTGCGGCCGGCCGGCTACAGATGTGCGGCTGGCGGAGCGGAGACGCTTTCCTGCCGCGCTGTAAGCTGCAAGGAAATTCTTGTTGGAAATTCCTTCACGTGAGCATGAGTTCACCCCGCGTCCCCCGCTCTGAGCATGGCACCCAGCGGCCAGTGAATAACCGCGGCCTCGCCAGCGCCGCGCCGGCCTCGTGCTGGGAGAGGCTCCTCGGCGGGGCTGCCCCGGCACCCAGTCAGCTGCTTTGGTGGTGAATCTGCCTGTAACTGTCACGAAACCCCGAGCCTGAGGGGGTGGCAGGGCCGGGGCGGCTTCACCTCTGCTCCTTTCATTTATGTTTTCTGCTTGACTCATGAGAAAGGGGGAAGCGGTGCTGGGGTACAGCCTTCCCCTCGGGGCACCTCCGCTCCAAGTCTGGTCCCTGCAGCAGCCCCGGAGCTGGGCTCTGCCTCCTGCCCCCCTCGGCGTTAGCGGGGTTCACAGCTCCTGTTTTTGGGGGCTCTGAAGTGACTGCTTGGGTGATGCCGGGGGGAGAGGGGGTGCAGGGCGGCCCCGGAGCGGTGCTGCAGGGTTTGGGGCAGTGGCGGCCGGGGAACAGGCAGCCGGATGGTGACTCAGCCCTGCCTGAACAGCCAGCCGGATGGTGCCTCAGGCCCTGCCTGACCCCTGCCTCCTCCCCGGGATGATCTCAGCTCTTGGCTGCTCCCGGGCTTTGCGGGAGGGAGAGACCCCGATGCGGTCAGCGGAGGAGCTTTGCCACACTTGGGGTGGCTGCGGGGGATGGCCGGTCCTTGGCCATCGCACAGCCGAGCATCCTTCCCCTTCCCGCTGCCTCCCGTGAGTCCGGCCCCGAGCTGGCAGCGGGCTGGCACGCACCGGCCCCCGGCACGAGGGCAGATGGAGAGC